AAATTCCCCCACCTTTTCTCTCTAAACCAATACAATACGTATTGTAAAATCATAGCAATACCCCTTCACTCCTTTGTAATCATATTGTAAGATCTTAATGATACCCTTTTACATTATAAGAAAATTGCAATTTTATAAATAAAGTTGGCATTTTGCTAGTGATTAATCTTAGTGTTCTTTAAAAAAGAAAAAGAATACAGAAACACTGGATAATCATTATGACAAAGCCATCACACTGACATGAACCCTGAAGATGTATCTTCAGAGAAAGAATTTAAAATAATAGTATCAATACTAACAATTTAATAGAAGCGATACCAGAACAGTAATAACAGTAATAGACAGTAATAATTGCAACAGTAATAGCAAGAACTATAACAATAATAATGACACTACGACTTCTACTAGTACCAATAATGATAACCACAATAATAGTATTATTTTATACTGTTTATTATATTCTTATGTTTTATTTACTTTATTGTGTTGTTTGTTTTGTGCTCTGGTTTTATATTATTGTAATGTACTGGTGAGCTTGGCTTCATGTAAGCCACGCCGAGTCCCCGTTGGGGAGATGGTGCGGGGTATAAATAAAGTTTATTATTATTAGTAGTAGTAGAATTAATAGTAATAATAACAAAAACAATAACTTTTTCTCAAATTGCCCGTTTTGGGGTATTCATTTAGATTTAAGCACTAAAAAATTTAACATTTCTTCAGTCCCTCACAGACCTCCCTGTGACAATATCACAGTCCCCAGGGTCCTTGGACCCCAGGTTGAGGACCACTGCTGTAAGAGACACTGGTCACAATCTCAGAAGCAACATGAATGCCTGGATGCAGTCTGAAGGACCACTGCCCACAATCTTAGAAGCACCATGAACTGAACACAGACTAAATGATCAAAGAAAGCATGAAGCCACTGAAGTGCGGGGAGGGGGGGGGGGACCAAGCAGCATTTGCTTGGTCACAAGCAACCCTTCACAATTGGCTTGGCACCTTTCACTTGCTTTCTGCTCACTTTGCAAGCAGTGTGCAAGCAGTCCAAAGTGAGCCTCTATAGGGAGCAGCATGGGACAAATAGCAGCAAGAATGTTACTGAAAGGGAGGAGAGGGGCTCTCATGAACAGCAGACTTTGCAGCCAAGCATTTTCCTTCTTCCTTCCCTTTCGACTCCTAGGGTGGGAAAGTGGAGGGAGCAAGTGAATAATATGGTGCTGCGGAACAGGCATGCTGTTAAGTAATGTTTCCAATGCATTTCATATAATGATGATGTAGCTCCAAAGTCGGAACTATACAAGAAACTGAAGATAACATCACCTTCCACAAATTGTTATATAAATATATTCTGTGCCAAATTTCCATGGCAAACGGTGATGTGATGATGAGACAGAGCTAGCAGCTATGCACAAGGTCAGCACTTGCAGAACACATGCAATTTTGATAGTAGTTTGATATTCCATCTGTCAGATATGGAATCCTATAGTTGCTTCCACACAGCCCTTTATCCCAGGAGCATCCGCATTTTACAAAATGCGAATGTTCCTGAGCCCCTATCCACACATACCCTAAACTGAAAGCCTTACCCCACTGTTCTGCCTTTTTAGGCTCCTCTCAATTACACTTTTTCTATTCCTACCTCATCCAGGGTTTTATCATTTTACCTTGTCCATTTGGCCTGCCAATTTTGTTTGATTTTATATTATGTTAAATTGTTTGGTTTACTTTATTTTGCTATTTTATGTATTTTATTCTGATGTAATTTTGTTGTCTATATTTTGTATGTTATTTTGCTGTATTGTATCTTAGGGTTTGGCCTCATGTTAGCCGTCCTGAGTCCCCCTTGGGGAAATGGTGGAGGGGTATAAATAAAGTTTATTATTATTATTCATTATTACCCCAGAAGGCTTTCTGAGTCCAGATGTTCTCCCGGAACTTTCCAGGAAAACACCCAGACACTCTAACCCCCTCCCTGAAAGCCTCACAAAGCCCTTTATAAAACAAAATAACTTACCCAGCCTCCATTAGATGCTAGGTAAGTCCTATGACACATTTAACAAAGTTTTGAATACCAGGTTGCTTATCTATTACTGATTTAAAAAAAAAATTCTGAAAGGCTTGAGGATAACCTGGCACGTAGAAATGACACACCAGGAGAAATGGGGGGGGGGGAGCAATTTGGGTGGCATCACAGTTTTCTGGGCTAATTTAGCCCACAAAACCATATGACTATTGTCTGAACTGCCCCCTCAAAAGTCCAGAACTTTTGAGGGAGCAGCCCAGAGATCGGAAGTAGTGCGTTTATCCTGCACCTTCCAAGAAGGCATGGAATAAATCCAATAACAAATTAATTGGGTTTTCCTGGTTTGTGGCGAATTAATTCAGGTTTGTCCAGGACATCATCTGGACAGCTTCCTTTTAACAACGAGAACTCATATTGGGATAGAAAGTAAATATTATACACACACACACACACACACACACACACTGTATTTCTTCAATTTTAAGACACACCTTTTTCCTATCAAATAAATGATATGATATGATATGATATGATATGAAAACACAGTATCATTTAGTTTCATTCAGTTACATGGGGTGCATCTTACAAGTATTTTGTGTATTTTCATTGTTGGTGGTAGTACTGAAATTAAGGTGGGTCTTACAATCAATGGCTTTTACAATTGAAGAAATACAGTATATAACGGCAAAAATATTGGTAACTCAAGACCAACACCGGCACGTTTGGGTTGAAGGAATGATTGTTGGCTCCTCCTGCCTCTTTCTGAAAGAGTTTAAAAGTGGAAAACACATCTTATTGGGAGGACAGCAGCCTTTTCTCTCCTGTGCTGTTCCTAGTTCTCCTTCACACCTCAAACATCTTTGAAAGATGTTTAGCCAAAATCTAAACAGTTTTCACCACACATAACTGAGTTGTTGAAAAAGGCAAAATGCTAAAGGTGTGTGCCAAGGTCAACGCAACAGAGTATTTGCTATCCATTAATATCCTTTGTCAACATTACAAAATGTCACATTGCAAAATGTAAATGTCACAGAATTGACTCCAGCATTCATTACATTAAACCATTATAAGAAAAACGTATGACACATTTAACAAAGTTTTGGATACCGGGTTGCTTATCTTGGACTGATTTTTTTTTAAATCTGAAAGGCTTGAAGATAACCTTTCCTTACCTTATACCTTCTAATTGTTTTAGCCTGCAACTCTTATGGGCCTTCACTCTGGCCATATTAGCAGAAGTGGATGAGAATCGGGGGCCAGCACATTTGGAGAAGACTAGGACAACACTCTACAACCCTAGTTTTACTAGAAATACATATAGGAACTTGAAACTGGATCTTATTCAAAATGCATTAATTGTATTGATCAGCAACAAAGAGGAAGACTATGGCTAGCCTGACCTGCTTCTATTTTTTGAAGCAAGAAATATGCTTTATACTGGTCCAAGTCACCTAATGTGCTGGGGCAGAGAAAGCACAGCACCTAAGAGCACTTTTCTGTGGCTCTCCCCTAATTGCACATCTAATTTGTAGAGGAAAGTTTTTACTCAATACCCTCACACAATATAATGTCGTGTTGCCGGCATGGCTAAATGGGTGGCTATATTACCTTCCCACCGAAGCAGTACCTATTGATCTACTCACATTTGCATGTTTTCAAACTGCTAGGTTGGCAGGAGCTAGGGCTAACAGCAGGAGCTCACCCTGAACCATGACTTCAAACTGCCAGCCTTTAGATCAGCAGATTCAATAGTTTAGCCCATTGCGCCCACAGTGGGATAAAGATATGAATTTCGTTTTGATCCATAGATAAGTCAAGGATCATTCCACAGAAAGTGAATAGCACCTATGCAAACAAAGGGGGTCAGCTGCCCCTGGCCACTGCCAGTATTCAGGCATTCAAAAAGTTCAGAAGCAGCATCAGAAAGAATACAAGGCATTGGTGCTTCTTTTAAACTCTCCAGAATGGACTCAGCACTCTACTCAGAAAAGGGGATAATTCCTCTTTTGATAAGAATTAAGGTAAAATATTCCAACTGACCTTTGGATAATAATTTTGCTGTCCACTAGATGATGCTGGACTGTAACACCCTTGTTGTCCCAGCTCCACTGGCTGCCGATTTGCTACCGGGCCCAATTTAAGGTGCTGGTGTTGGCCTACAAAGCCCTGAACGGCTCCGGCCCAAAATACCTTTCAGACCGCATCTTGGCCTATGAGCCCACGAGGACCTTGAGATCGTCTGGGGAGGCCCTTCTCTCGATCCCGCCTGCCTCACAGGCACGCCTGGCGGGGACGAGAGAGAGGGCCTTCTCAGTGGTGGCCCCCCGGTTGTGGAACACTCTCCCTACAGACATCAGGCAGGCGCCCTCTCTTTTGTCCTTCCGAAAAAGCCTCAAGACGTGGCTGTTCGAGAGGGCATTTAATTAAGTGCTATAGTAATGTGGTAAAGACGACTGGAATGGTACAAGGAATACGAGATTGGTCACGATTCTATTACGAGACGAAGCGGATTAGTTAGTGTAATTTTAACTGTTGTATTGTTGTATGGTTAATATGCTGTTGTACTTGTCTTTGTGTGAATTGCCTTTTGTACTGTACACCGCCGTGAGTCGCCCGAGTGGGCTGAGAATGGCGGTTAATAAATGCTCCAAATAAATAATTCCTAACATTCTTCACCATTCTCTGTGCTGGACAGGAGTAACCGAAGTTGAAGTTCTAAACTACTTCCTTAATTTCCATCCCTGACCCAAGTCAGCACATATGTACATACCTTCCTTAAACAAGCATTTGAAAGCCAAAAAAAAAAAAAACAGCAATCCAAACTGCTTCAATTAAGTAAGTTTGGCTTTGTTCAAACCATTCTGTCTAACCATATTGCCAATGCCTTGTTGCTAACAAAGAAAATCCCAGAATGATGCTTGAATCTATCATCATTCCTTTTCTGTTATAAATAAGCAATAAATAAATAAACTCTTACCGGATCTAGGTTTTTAAATAGGAGAATGTCTTTGCAAGCTTCCTGCAGTCTGTTTCTTTGATCATCTGTTTTGGGGTGAATAATCTGAAAGAAATCACTGCAATTTAGTCTCCCTCTTCTTGGATTAACTTTAAGAAAAATGATCATAGAAAGGGTCATAACCAAAGTATGCAATCTAAAGGAATACTTCTAAAGCCATTTAACATTTTTCAGGTAACAACAGGGGATTTCATTTTTGAAAAATCTCATTTTAGAAAGAAACAGTACAGAAATAAATAAATAAAAGAAACTTTTATAACAAATCTATTGTCATGTAAGGGAAATTACAATAAAAATGATGAGGAAAGAAAATGTACATGTTGCTACATTTTGCAAAAACATTCAGGATATATGAAGAGATGCAGGCAATCCCCGGGTTACAAACAAGGTAAGTTCTGTAGGTGTGTTCTTAAGCTGAATTCGTACGTAAAAGATACACTATTTACCTGTAACTCCAGTCATTTTTATTTTTGTTTTGGATAGCACAGGGAAAGATTTGCATCCCTGTAATATTTGTGTTGCTATCTGTGCCCCTGTTCAGAAGATATTCCTCACTTTCTGTTCCTGGAACCATTGGATTTTGAAAAATTGGGAATGCCATGAAAACAAGGATTGGTGATAAAGCTTCCGTGGAGGCACCTTTTTGTTATGATAACTCTTTCAGGAGTGAATTTATCTTTTTAGGAGTAGATTTCCTCTCACTTCCTATTGTATTTTCCGCATTTGTAACTAGGTGTTCATTGCAAGTTGGATGTTTGTAACCCAGGAACTGTCTGTGTATTATTACAAATTATATATCTGAATATGTTTTAATTGTTTTTAACTGAGATTTTAAAAATACTGTTTATATTTAATCCTGTTTTAATGCTTGTATATTTGTATATTTTAAATTGTTATGCTGATGCTTCTATTTTAAGCCCCTTTGAGTCCCCTTTGGGGGAGATAAAGAAGAGCAATAATAATAATAATAATAATAATAATTTTTCAAAGCTGATTTCTTCTATCAAGAATACATACCTTTGAATCAGCATCATCCTCTTCTTCGTCAGGATTATAAGCTTCAGCACACACTAAAGGCAAAAAAAAGATGTGATTCTTAACAACAATGTGCTTTCAAGATTGCTCTAAGATCAATGTGTGCTTTGTTGTATACTATGATGCTACTGTGCAGTACCTGGAATAAAAAAGCTACTTATACATATTTGAAATAAAGAACTTTAAAAATCTGCAGAAATGAAAAAAAAATTCAATACAAATCATAGAGACCTCATGGGTCATCCAGTCCAACCCCCTGACAAGAAGCATAGTTGGCCCAAAACTTTTATTTGGGCCAACTATATCCAGTTCATTGAATCCACTGTTACTCAATGTCTTCTAAACAGCTTCAACATATCTGGTTTATGCATATAGAATCCCAATGAAAGTCTAACTGCCCAAGATGTGGAAAGAGTTCACCAAGCCAAGTTGTTTCTGCTAACTCGAAGGCAGAACCATACAGGCAAAGATTTATTTAATCTTTCCAACCTCTTGCCATCCTTCTTTTCCCCTCACCAGTTGTAACAACAACAACAACAACAACAACTTTATTTTTATACCCCGCCACCATCTCCCCAAGGGGACTCGGGGTGACTTACATGTGAATAAAGCTGAAAGAGAACTGTGGCTGACCCAAATTCACCATTGAACTTCATAATTCAGTGGGGATATTAACCTGGATCTTCCAAATCTCAGGATGCCATTCTAACCACAATGCCATCACAGTTCTCACTACAACATCTTATTTCAGGTCCCATTTGTACATATAACTATCACTTCACTTTATGCCTGGGAGATTATTCATGATAATGCACATTTTGCTAAGTGGGGAGCTAAAGTTGCCAACTTCGCCAAATAACAACCAAGTGGGCATTTGAATTAATGCTCCCAAATTCAAGACCAACCTTGAGTCATCTGGAAACTGAGATGCCTTTAAAATTTATGCAACTTTCCAGACTGCCTGACAGAAGCATTTTGATGCATACCTCTACAACAATGTAAGTTGCTTGTTTTAAAGTACTGTGAAGAATAGTTACACTTTGGCCCCTTATACACTGCCACATAAAATAATAATAATAATAATAATAATAATAATACACTTTATTTATATTTCGACCTTCTCCCTGAAGGGACTCAGAGTTGATTACAGTCTATAAACAGTTACAAGCAAAGATTCAATGCCTTGTTACAATACAATGGGATAAACATACACAGGCAAAGGCAAAAGCTTCTCCTTTCATTTCCGACTTCTGGAAACGGTGCTCATCTCTGGCTCTTGGGGAAGGTGCTGTTATCCATTTCCAAGCTGAGGAGCCTGCGTTGTCACCTCCGTGACTGGCATGACTGCTTAGAGTGTCTTTTGCCTTTTCCTGCCAAAGTGGTACCTCTTTACCTACTCACATTTGAAGTCGAAAACACTTTTCTAGAGCAGAACTGAAAACCTTTCTTCGTCGAAGAGCTCCAGTTTCATTTTGGCAAACGCCTTGAAGATTTCCTCTCACAGAACTGGTTTTCAGACCAAGTTCTCCTGAGTGATGTTCTGCTTAGTTTGATTCTATAGCAAGCACATAGCAAAATCCAGATTATCTGCTTTGAACTGAATTATATGGCAGTGTAGACTCATGGAAGGAAAAAGGAAGAGGGGCCGACCAAGGGCAAGATGGATGGATGGCATCCTTGAAGTGTCTGGATTGACCTTGAAGGAGCTGGTGATAGTGATGGCCAACAGGGAGCTCCTGTGTAGACTGGTCCATGAAGTCATGAAGAGTCGGTAACGACTGAACAACAACAACAACAGACACATACAGTTCAAAGCAGATAATATGGATTATCTGATTTCATAATCTGGATTATATGGCAGTGTAGAAGGGGCCATAAAAAGTCATTCTTGTATTCATCTCTAAATTCAGTATCCCCGTCTTTAGATGCTGGTCCCATCCCTCAGGCATGTTAAATTGGTAAAAGTCATTTACTCTGAAGTAGGCTGAAAAACTGATTTCCATACATTTAAATAATAAGACATCGTAGTTTTCAAGAAAGACTCCTGTTTCCAAAGGCAGCAATATCTTCTCATTAACAAGAGTTATCTAATATTACCTGGAAAGGAGAAATATATGCCATTGGCTTCATCAAACATTTAAATATACAGTTCACTAAGATAAGAGCATTTGTCTAGTTTACATAATTGTTTGACCAAAAATAGTGGAAGCTACATGAAAAGCAACTATAGGGTTGTGGCAAGCTAAAATCTTGCAAAATGCGATTATTGTGTTTTGTAAGTTTTGGGCCAAGAGCTCCACGCTTAGATCTCATGAGGGCTGGTAATACTATCTCGCTCAAAAACTAGATATCTTTATTTAGGCTCTCCTATCCACACAACGTTCCCTCTGCAGAAGTGTAGTACAGGAGTTGATATATAAAAAAGCTCATCCTTAATATAAATGTTTCAGTGTCATTTTTGCAGCTGTTTCCTATCTGTATAGAAGCGCCTGACTACAAGACACTGTCCAGTGTCTTACAAAATGTATTTTTAAAAAGCTTCCTGAGACTGATGCATAACAGCCGGCATTATCTCTTTCCTGTTCCAAACAGTCATGAGAAGCACAGAAAATAGACATACGTTTTGTCATCATCTCAGACCCATGATGGAAAAGAAGGGCAAAAGTGTCTCACACAATGGTCAATTTCTCCCTAGAAAATAATGACTGAATAAACCCATCTTGGGTGAAATGATTTTCTCATTTTGAAAGAGGAAGACACAGGGCCTATCTCACCTATATCTTCTCTTCTCTTGCCCCTTTATCTTACATTTCTGGAAAAAGACAAAATATCTATACAGCAAGTCAGAATGACAGTGGTACTTTAAACTGGGTCAGTCACACAATTGAAGAAATTACTCTATTAACGGAAGGGATTTCTACAGCTTGATTAAATCTGAACAATTTGCATACTAATGCATATTTCTAAGTATACGAGGCTCTCAGTTAACCAGCACCCGTGTGGATTAGTAGATGCTGGATAAATGTAGTTTCTGGTTGAATTAGCATCACTATTAAAATAGACCTAACTGATGCTATATTCCATACTACACAATATCATAAACTCCATATTGATTTGATCGTAATATTGAAATACATTAATTAAAAGCAAATAAGACAAACTTAACTTAAGCTTATATTACTGCTAAAATTGTTTAATTTAAATTTTTATTTAAAATATTTTTTCCTTGATTTTTTTATTTATTTATTTATTTTTTTTTGCTAGATGTTTGAGAGTTCTTGAGTTCTGACTAACTGAGCATCTATTTGTCATATATGTAATTTCAGTGTTTTCTGATCCAGGGTATTTTATAATTAAAATATTTTAACTGATCAATTAAAACCAACCAAACATTGCATCATGGTTTCTTTCCTCACAAATTATTTTCTTGTTTTAAAAACGTGCATCAAACTTCATGTTTTCTGTTACTGAGAAATTGACCACTGCCTCCCAAAATAATACATTAAATTAAGTCTCTAGAGCATGATACACACACACACACACACACACACACACACAAGTAGATCATATCAGCAGATCCTGATTAGGTTTCAAGCAACCCCAATCCAGTGGGTTCTGTGAATTTTCCAAGCTGTATGGCCATGTTTCAGAAACATTCTCTCCTAATGTTTCACTCACATCTATGGTAGGCATCCTCAGTGGTTGCGAGGTCTGTTGGAAACAAGGCAAGTTACGTTTATATATCTGAGGAATGTCCAGGGTGGGAGAAAGAACTCTCATCTGTTTGAGGCAAGTGTGAATGTTGCAACTGACCACCTTGATTAGCATTGAATAGACTTGGAGCTTCAAAGCCTGGCTGCTTCCTGCATGGGGGCAACCTTTGTTGGGAGGTGTTAGCTGGCCCAGATTGTTTCTTGTCTGGAATTCCCATTTTCTGAGTTTTGTTCTTTATTTACTGTCCTGATTTTACAGTTTTTAATACTAGTAGCCAGATTTTGTTCATTTTCATGGTTTCTTCCTTTCTGTTGAAATTGTCCACATGCTTGTGGATTTCGATGGCTTCTTTGTGTAGCCTGACAGGGTAGCTGTTAGAGTGGTCCAGCATTTCTGTGTTCTCAAAGAATGTAAATTGGTGGAAAAGTAGGTAATGATAGTGTGAATAAATTATCAAAATTTGGTCGAGATGATGACTGCAGTTCTGGAGGAACTCTAATTTTCATTTCTCACAGACCTAGCATGGGGATTTGGTTAACCAATTAAAATTCATGTGTACATCAGATTGCTTTTGTATTTGAAAAAACTGAACATTTTTTGGGGGGAGGTGAACTCATTAACCACTCCCACCCCTGGCTACAGACTTGCTCCCAATGCCAGAGCTGCAGAAGAAAACCCAACTAGATGGAGGACAAGGAAAAAAGGGGGACCCTAAGCATGTATTTATAAAAAAAGAACCATTTTTATTAGTGGTTTTGTTAACTATAAGGTAGCAGTATCATCAACCTTAGCTAAACAAAAAACATAAAAAGACAACAATGCAGTACCAGGCAAACCTCAACAGTCTGGATGAAGAGGTTGTTTTTCTGGCCTATCTTTTAATAATGTAAAAAAATTGGAAAGAGTTATTAACCTTATTAAATAAATGCATAATTACCGTAAATGTGCATGTACATAGATTCTCTATACTATGGAATGGGTTAGTTGGAATAGTTTTTTTAGCTGTCAAGTTCTTGTCTTAGGTGTAACTTACAAAGAACCACCATGATCGGTATAAAACACACCCTCCATTTCAAGCGCAAATGGAAATATAATCATTTCAGAAGATACTGAAGATGGAAAGAAATGACTTTTCAGGTCACAGCCAAGGTGATGTTATTCTCATTGTAAATCATTTTCCTGGTACAAAGAAAAATTAATTTTATTGCCAAATAAATAATGCATGAGATCACTTACATAATCAGAAGATTCATTAGACAACAAATATGGGGAAAGCAATTGAGGCAATAAGAATGTCATCATTTATACACTATTCAATACA